TCCTGTTTTTGGAAAAAATCCAATTTTTTTTAAATTTCAGGGTAAAACTCAAACTTATGAAATTCCAAGTTTTCCTGGTCTGTGCAAAACATGATTAATAAGTAGTTTTATAAGCAATCCCCTCCAATCTTTTCTTTGAAACTGGGAATCGCTGTAACATTAGTCTCACGTTGAACTCAATATTTAGTGATAAACCTTCAGATTCTGAGACTTATTGCTGAATTTGTACTTATGATACATTACACCAAGAAGACATGGCAGGCTGTGAATTATAGGTAATAAGTGTACCATATGTGTAAGACTAATAAAAATATTAACATTTACTTTCACTATTAAAGCTCTTTCAATTCATGCATTTCAAATTATAATTTTAAATAGCATTGTGATTTACATAAATTTAGGTGTTTTCTTTATAATGGAGGATAAATTTATAGTCTACAGGAAAGTTCATAATTAATACATTTTTTAAACATTATAGTAACCATATAATATGGTAGAATATTAAAGATCATTTTTAATAATGAAGTTTTTATAAGTAGTATAATAATACAGTACCTATCATACTCTTTACTTAACTTTTGATTGCTGCATGATAAAACCTAAATTTAGTGAAATATTAAAGCACATTAGGTACTTTACTACTGACAAGTGATAATTTTTTATAAGCATCCATCAGTTTTCAATGAAATAAGCTAATAAGGTTGTGAACAGTAGGTAATTAGTAAGCAATACATCTAGGACTAATAAACAAATGTTAGCACCATATCGTACATACTAGTTTTTAATTTTTGACATAGTTGCCATTAATTACAAATTACTGGAAGATTACTAAACTTCTGCTTACAAAAGCTGTAACCTTACTCAGATTTTACTGGATAATGCGTACTGAAATATACGATGTTGTCAGATTAAATCACACAGACAGGATTAATTAGCAGCATAGTCTTTGTTTATGGCATGGAGACTGTTAAGAAAACATGTTCTGAAGCTTTTAAGATAGTAGAAATTAACCTTTAAAGACCAACTAAAAACGTTTTTTGTCTAAACATAATTAGGTATAAAAATGGAAGTTAATGTTTTCTTACACTGAAAATATATTTCAAATAGATACCTCCTTTCACACAATAGCTTTTCTCTTCAGTCCTGCCCTCTATATGCAAAAATGTTTTTGCTCACCACTAGCCTTGAAACTCCCACTTAACTCACGTTTCAATGTGGTTCAGCTGTGTTGTAGCATGCAAATAAGTATGCAACAATCCTCCACCAATAGGAGAGTGACACTCCTGTTGCAGCTGGGTCCCTTTTTACTGTAAAACTCAATCTTCATTTCGAGATTAGGAAGGAAAGAAGCATCAAAAGCGGAAGTGGGGATGAAGTGTGAGAGGAGGTAAGTTTATATTGGAAATATATTTTCAGTGCAGGAATATATTAACTTCGGTTATGATATCTTACCTCCTCTCACATAATAGCTAGAATCCCACATTGACATGGTGGAGGGACCAGTGTAAAAGTTATCTAGATGAACACCCTTCGGAAAGTGTTCGAGGAATTCCCATGGAGTGTGACTTTTCTTGTTAGAGGCACACACTCATGGGAGACCATACTACAGTTGAACTAGGTGTACTCATTGCACACCATGAAAGTATGTGTCACTAAATTGGGTGAAAAAGAGGAGCAAATCCTTGATTTTAGATATGTTGGCTGGTCCTGCTCCTTTCCAAAATGAGATCTCCTAGGAGCCTACCTGCAGGAGATGGTAGGATGGGGGTTCCCCAGTTGATTAGTTTGTTTAATATATAAATGGATGAGCTTTATGGTGTAGAATGGCTAAGAATTTGTAAAAAGGGGAGGAAGCATGGTGGAAAGTCGAGAGGAAAGTTCCACTGAAGACTGTGCAATGGGTGACCAAAAAACCGTATTTTGAAAAGCAGGCCACTACTGATTTATTCAATCATAGGAATGGAGGGATGGGCAGCAATCCCCCTTCTGCTTTACTTGTCATAGTCAATGAGTCAGTACAATTTGGAACAGGCATACTTATGATGTAATATACCATGAGATCAATCTACTAGCACTTTTGTGGAATATCCCATCTCAACAGTGGGTGTTAAAGGCTTTATTGTTATGCTTATGTTGGTTGGTCCAGTTCCTTTCCTATGGTAGAAAGAAGGGTTCCAATGGATAAGTAAAAGGGAACAGGAACAACAGAAGGAAGCTGTGTAGGTAATATAACATCTGAGAGCATGCACAGGACATGGAAATCTATATAGATCAGAACAAGAATACAAATGAAAATTGGTGTATAAGAGACTATGCCTTCATGAGCCGCTGACATCTTGGGTAGTAAACTTCTATCCAGCTACAGGAGAACATAGGTACGTTGATAAAGAACACAATACAGCAATGGCAAAAACATCTGATCTCCAATGACCATAGGCAAAAAGAACTGGGAAATAGGTCTTGAGGGATAAATGGTATAGGGAATAGGTAAACAAGGGTTCAAATAGTTTGGGTAAAGGTGTGGAGAAAAACATTACGGTTCCAATCTGGAAGAAGTGTAGGGCAAGGAGGTCGAAAGATACGGAAAGAATGTAACAAAAGGAAAATGGTAAGGGAGGAAAACACTCTGCAGTAACAGGAAAAAAACAGAAGGTACTGGACAAGGCTGATTGATACCCAGCAATGGTAGATATGGAAGAACCATTGATGAACATTCAGGTAAAATAAGAGGAATATTTGGTTGGGAAGGAAAGTAATTATGGCACAAAGACCAATGCTGAAAAAACATGCCATTTTCTCTGATATACCATGAAGGAAGAAGGACATATGGAATGGGAAAAAATGGAAGCTACATGCATGGATAGTCTGGACTGCCTCTTGCAAGGGACTGGACAAAAGCAATGTGTTAAGCCAGAGTGTGGCAATTGCAGAATGAAACACTGGCAACTGAAGTTAATGGAGGAGGGATTAGGAAAGAAGAAGTGGGAATGGAGGACTGGAAACCAAGTTTGTACTGGTCAGTAAGGCACTATCAGAAGGACACAACATGGAGTGGATTGGATGATGGATAAAACCCTGGGAGAAGGCAGAGAGGAGTGTAAGCATACAGGTAAAGTTGGTCCAATCATAACTGAATGCATCTACTGGTAAAGACAAAGGATGGTATTGAAATAGGCGGCAAATGTGTCCAGATGTTGAGTGCCCCACAAACCTCAAGACCACCAGAAAACTTGGAAACTGATGTGCATTGTCATCTTGACCCAAAATTTTCTGAAAATCCATACTTGCTCCCCAATCTGTAAGAGAAGCATTTGTAAACAGATGCGGCTCGGGTGGTGGAGGTGATAGAGGCCACGATGTTGTCTCTGTTGAGCCACAAAGTAATAACGACTTGCAGTGAGGAAGGGAGACAAATAATGGAATCCAGAGAATCCTGAGCCAGATCCAATTGATAGTGCAACACCTGCTGAAGAGTGCATTGGAAAGATGTTGGCATGGACCTGAAGGGGGGTGGGTTGAGGAATTGAAAGGATAAACCTTTTTACAGTACCTGAGTCACCCATATATCTTAAGTGAAAATGTGCCATAGGTGCACAAATCTGGCCAAGTGTGCTCTTACTTGCTAGAACCCATGGGATAGTCACTACCAAAACAAGGGAAAGAGGAATGGATAAAGGAATTGAAGGAGGTCGGGAAACAGGAATAGGACCAGATGAAGGCAGCAAGAATCGAGAGGCCAAGGAGTAAATGGAGGAGCATTGTCAAGGAGCCTCCATTCATGACCCCAAAAGTCGACTGACATAAAAAAGGAGCCACCCAAAGATCTTGTAGGTAGGTTGTGGGTAGGTGCACATTAGTTAACAGAGCATTCCTACCCAGGAGATCCTTGAGAGGAAAAAGGCCAAGGAGGATAAATGCACCAACGTAGAGAAAATAAGGATACAGGCATAAGTTAACATACCTGTAACACCATATACAGGAAGGCCAAGGGCAGCTGGGAGCATTCACAGGAGAAAAATCAGAACTGCACGGCATAGGAAGGAGGAAGAAAAAAGGCTCACAAAATCTTCATCCCCCAGCCTGGGTTTGAAGAAGCTGTTGGCTGCGTAATGGATTCAAACTCCCTTCACACTAAGGCTGAGACCTACTCAGCCAAAAGTGTGGAACCTGAAGCTTGAGACACAGCAGTTGTTGTAGAAGTATTACCTACTGTGGTTGTAAGTGACTCGAAATTCCAAGTTCATGTTTAACTGTGGGGAATTTCCCAAGTAGAAAACAAAATAGTTACTTTCTGTCATTTGTTTAACTGATATTAAACAAACTGAAAGTAATAAATCTACTAAGGAGATAAAAAAAAGATTGATTAATTAACACAAAAAAGAACATGTACTAAAACTGTAATTAACAAAAGCAAATTTTTGTGGACATCTGATCTCCACTATGCCAAATTGAGAAGTGAAGTTTGGGTTCTACAGTAAAGAGGGAGCCAGCAACAACAGGAGTATGTGTCAATCTCTTATTGGTGGAGGGTATCGCATACTCATTTCCATGCTATCACATAGCTGAACTACATTGAAACTTGGGGTTGGTGGGAGTTTCAAGGCTATTGACAAGTAAAAACTTGTGCATATAGACAGCAGCACTGAAAAATTGTTTGTTATTAAGCACAAAGCTACACAAAGGGCTATCTGTGCTCTGCCCACCATGGGTATCGAAACCTGGTTTCTAGCAGTATAAGTCACACTGAAAGAAGAAAAGTTATTATCTGAGAGGATGTAAGACATCGTATTGGAATTAGTAGCAAGATTATATGCACGTAAAAATTTAATCTCTTTTTTTTTTATTCAACAGAAAAATTAAATAATAGCACTATGCAAAGTTTCAACAAGAAATAACTTGAGAGATTTGAATTTAAACTTTAAAAAACCCTATGTAAAATAAATATTTTTAATGTGTAGACCATTATGAAAAACATTATATGAATTTGTGAATATATTTACCAAGTTTCTCTCCGACAAATTCTCAAAAAATCTAAATCCAAAGTAGTGAACGTCACTCACTTGTTGCCCTATTTCATCAATTGTAGGAGTAGGCAATTGTGTACTAGTGAAGTTCTTCAAGGAGAAAAGGTCTTTCAGGTCATATCCTGGTAATTGGATGTCAGAAAATTATTTTGCGCAAGCCAGTCTGTTGCTCTTAATCTTCTTCTGTCTTACTCTACATCTCAAAAATACTGTACACTTTTTAATATATAGGAAAATTAAGTAATGGACATTTGTAGCAAGCCAAGGATTTCAACATTCTTAGAAGCCTTTTATTTTCATATGATGCAAATATTTTAAAAGAAAAATTAAGTTAAAAGGCAAAAAACAAGCAAGTACCAGTTGCTAGTTGTAGAATTTGAGGCCTGACATAACTATTTTTAATATACATGAATGTCTTTATAATTACAAGCATAAAGTGCTTGTAAACAATGTGAGTGACCTATTTTATGCCTTAAATAATAGTAGAAACTTTTTTCAGAAGATCTACTGTTTGTGAAGAAATAAGATAGTTATATTTACTATGATTTCACATTATCTTCAAATGTTATGAAGTTAAATTCTATTTAAAACACTAGATTCTAGTGGTGTGACAAAAATTATACTCATGTGGTACATGCTTTTCTTTAAAAGCATCTTGTGCTTTGCAATTCACCTCTAACATCATCAGTCAAATTACTCACATAATTTTCTCAAATCATAACTGTCACATTCAGATGCTCTTTCCTATACTAAGACATAATTACAGTAATTATAAGTAGTATAATTTGATAATTTTTTCAAAGCACAAAAGAAAAACTACTGACAATAAGCATTCCAAAAAATACACATTATTTGTGAAATGACTGAATTGGCTAACCAATGATGAATAATAGAAAACTCTAAACATTATGCCTTGGACTTTATTTTATTAAATATAGTTGAACATTTTTTTATTCAAAAGTAAATTAGAAAACCTACAATAGATTAATATAATCTTGGATTTTCTCTTTATTAAAATTATAAAATTTCAAAACTACAAAAGGAAAATTCAAAAATTAAAACTGAAAAAATTCAACTATGCTAAAAACTTTTATTGTTGTACAAAATATAAATTATTATATGAAAATGATAGATAAATTCTATCAAATAGAGTCCTTGATGTAAAAACTTTAATGATAACTCATGTGCAAAACTGAAGCTTGACAGAGGTTGGAAGCAAGTTACATGCGTGCTAAGTACAAGTTCTTTTTATCGTACACACTTAATTATGCACAACCAAACATGAACAAATTGGTAATACTGAGAAAAATCAAAACATTGATAAAATCAATTTCAAACTGTACTTAATAACTACAAAATTCACTGAAAGCTATTAGAAAAATTTATTTCATTTATTACTATTAGCCAATCCTTGGCCCCTTAATATTTATTATTTATGTAAATGATTTAATTTCGTTATGTTCAAAAGATACTTGCAATCTGTATGCAGATGATATGATTCTTACCATATAGGTGGATTCTCTTGCTGACTGTTTTAAAATAGCAAATAATGAGTTGTTTTCTATTGCTACCTGGCTTCTTGGCAACTGCCTAGTTTTAAATATTTGCAAGTCACAATATATGATTATATCAAGGGAACAGGTAAATGATGATTTGAGTTTTAATGGCAATGTTCTATCCAAGGTTGATTCAATAAAGGTTCTTGAAGTTATTATTCACAATAACATTAGATGGGATGAACAAATTAAAATGATCTCAAAAAAAAACTTGCCAGGGAAGTCTATATTATGACAAGTCCTTTATCAAATGTATTGAGCTATCTTCTACAGTCATGACTTCTCATTTAAGAGTATGGCGCTCACATTTTAATGATTAAGACCAACCTGCTGTTCCAATTGAGGGTCTTGAGGCTTATCATAGGTCTTTCTTATAAAGCATCTGTTTCTAACAGATTTAAGGAATACGGACTTTTAACCATTTATCAGGCCAGTGTGTACTGCTTCATTTTTGTTGCTATGGATCTTACCATGTTTAATTCTGAAATGAATTTGTTAATCCCCTCTAGAGGAAGTTTATATTAATTTCATTATAGAAATAGTTCAGTTTTGGGTTCTAAGGTTTTTATTATTTGGCTCCAGCTATTTTAAATCGACTTAAGTTTGATGATTGGTCAACCTCTAGTATTAAGTTATTTAAAATATAAATGCATAATTATGTATTGACTAGTTTCTCAATGTTTGTTTAACACGTGTAAATAACTTTTGTTTCATGGTTACTTATCCTTCATGGCTGTAAATTTATCAATAATAATAAATAAATATAAGAATAACTTTTTACAACTACTACCACTACTTGCTTCTGGAATTTAAATAGATAACACATGATCAATAACACATCTTACTATAATAAATGTAGTGTGTACATATGTATGTATCTATCTATGTGTCTGAAATAATAAATACAAGGTGGCACCACAAACAAATATCCATAAAAAATTTCATACTTTTGGTATTTAAGATTCAGACAATTTTAAGTTCTCTCTTCACAACAAGAACATGACTTTCACTAAGATTGTACATGAGGGTTTGATATCTTTATTGATGTAATTTGTAAATATAGTACTAAAAACTGAGTTCTTAAAAAAAAACTTATTTTTTCAATAAAGGGTATAACTTTTAATAATTAGAAACATTATAGTTTATACAAGTACAATCCAAACACATTTCACATGAAATACTTCCAGAAAAATACTTTTTTAGAAAATGTTAATTTTTTGTAAATTATTTTGAGTGAGGTATGAGTAGTATGATTAGTAATTATAAGCACAAACAGCTGCCCATAGGGTGACATTTCTCCAAGTATTCTTTAACTAAGGTAAACCAGAAAGCTAAAATGAAAGAGAATTTCAGTGAACTTGATAAATTTAATTCTTGAATTTTTTGAACCCTGCTATAAATTCCACTCTAATTCAATGGCTTATACAAAATATATTTATTTTAATTTGTATGTGCAACATACAGGGAATCTTTTAAATATTTACCAACCTTAATCCATAGTCACTTTTGTCTTACCAGTGTATTCTTTCACCATAGAAACAGATTGGTCTCTAACAACCTTGTAGCCTCTCTGTGTTAGTTCAATAGCCTGTCTGGGATAACAAAGTGAAGCCACAACCAACATTCCTGTACCACTGTAGGTAATCTTTTTCATTAAGCCACCTATTTATAATAAAAACAGAAGTATAATAAAATTATTCAGTGATGCTGAATCATTTGGTTGGTAATAAAAAGTGTTGAGTATGTTATATGAAAATAATTTTGAATATGCAAATCAGCAAATCAAGTGACAACCACAGGTAATATAATGTCATGGTAGAACAGTATAAAGTTCATTTTCATATTGTTTGGATTTAATAAGCAGTGTGATGCCACCATAAAACTGATTGCTTTTGGGAACGGTATGTAACAGTCCTGTCTCATGCAAGATATTCAAACATTCAGATAATAATGATGTGTTCAGATTGGGGATTTAGAATTTCAAGGATAGGAATATCCCTTGTACTTAATGTAATTGGAAAACAAAGGAATATAGATCAACAAGGAGTATCAGGTGCACCTAGAAAGAGACATGCAACAAGATGTACCCCAGTCAAAGTAAGCAAAGAGCAGTGTCTTGTAACAGGTGAAAATCCAATAATACAAAGGTCAGTGACAAAAGCCATTCACGTGTCCCAGGCAAAAGTATTCAACATAAGAAAGCTCCCATTCAACTGGTGCATACCTCAAGAAGTGAAGAATGAAACAGGTATACTATTCTATATGAAGACATACTGGTGAAGTTTCCAAGGGATTTTTATGTAATCAGACTGTTAAAACGGGATGTGGGAAACTGTTGCACTCGTACTATTTAAATAATGAAAACCATTCAGAGAGGAGTGGTGTGTTTTGGACATTATAGTCTTAGACAGAATCTCTTGCAGTGGAAATTACACTGTAGGACTATTGACAAGATGCATGGCCATCACAGAGAGAGCACCATCAGACATGGTGATATGGACTGCAATAACAGGAAGAGGCTCCAAAATTGCTTTAATATAACATACTCAACCCTTGTATAAATGTGAGACATATATTTTTTCTTTCTCAATTGGAAGAAAAAACACATGCAAGTTAATTCTTTTTTTTTAAGCAAGTGGTTAATTTAGTTTTAGGATTATGTATTAAGTTAGAATCTTTGAAAACAAACTTCAAAGTCAACTATATCACCATCTTGACTACTGTACTATAGTATGAAACAGCACAAGTTTTTCTTCTTCAAATATTGAACATTATGGCCAGAAACATTGCTGACAGAGAGGATATTCAACTGATGAATCAATGCATATTAATTACTATATGTTTATATTTCATGACATTGCACACACTTAGTTAGAATCGTATATTAAATTGACTATATTAATTATTTGGTTTCTATTAAGATATATAAAATAACGACCATTAAGATAAATAAAATAAAGACCTATATATCCTGAATATATTTTTATTAGCTGAACATTTTTCTATTACAGCTTTATCAGGAACTAATGATATCCTATAAGTTCACTAATCTAGTTGAAACTACAATGGAACAAATTCATAAGTTAATTGAATAGAGATCATATTGAAATAATATCAAACATTCTTGAATTTAAACTGCTGAAAGAAAATGAACCAACAATGGTAAATAAATAACATGTGTAAATCAATAAATTATGTATACAAAGTTCATCTACATCAAAATTGTTTATGAAGTAGCTTGTAGAAGATGCTCTAGTATGTATATAGGAAAAACTTGCTGACCCATAAATGATAGAATATCTGAACACATGTGTGAAATCCAAAACCTCAATACTAGCAATGTTATTGCTGAGCACTAGAGAAAAGCTGATAACGCTTCAATGGATGTTAAGATCTGATCTAAATGTCACAACTGTAGTTTTTTGGCCGTCACATGATCCATTCATGGTTACAATTTCTCAATTTTAAGAGCTGGTATAGAAAAAACTGTGTGTGTGCACTGTAGACACTTCCTTCAGATGTCTAAAGTACACCATACACTTGTTGTTCATTATTGTCCCGAGCACTTTCCAAGAATTTCTCCCCTCAGGAAATCATTGTAAATATTTCCTTAGTTTAATAGAAGCTGTGATGCTAAGTGACAGTTTTAAGTTGAATGGAATGCTTATAACCAATAGAAAGAGCAGATTTCACTCTTGAAGGTTGCTTTGATCAGAAGTCAATAATAAAACAGAATGCTTTCTTCATATTTCTGGAGATGTTAAGATGTAAAAGCTATTTTCCACTCAAAAGAAGGTGAGAGTTACACAAGATGTAATTTGAGGAATTTATGTGAAATGACTGAACTGAAAGTCTGTGAGAAAGGTATAAAACTGAATTTTGAGGAAATATTTCACCATGAACTAAAATATTTGATCCTCGAGTTTTGTTGATAATGGATAAAAATAAAGGTTCTTATTTTAAGAAATCATTTGCATATGTAAGAATTAGTACAGAAAGTAAAACAAAGACCAATTATGCATATTATATCCCAAAGATTTGAGATTGCAATGGGTAAAAAAATATACATGGTAAAATATGATAGTGGTAAATTTGGAGTTTTTTTTCTATCATTTAGGTTGATTGCAAAATAATATTTTAATATTTAATCTCTGCATAACAATAGTATATTCAAGAATTGTCCTTTGCTCTATTAATTAAGGTATATTTTCTTTATGATGTTTGCTATAAATAACTTCTGGCTTTATGATCATGGCACCATATATCTTTAAAAAAAAAGTGTAATCTGTTATATTTTTGCACTTTTACTCATAAACTAACTTACATAAACATATGTAACACTTGGTCTATGTATTGCAGCATGTAACACTTGGGTAATGTATGCAAAATCTATAACACCTGGTCAATACATGCAGCATTTACAACAACTGGTCAACATGTACTACCATGTGTAACACTTAATGTGTATAGTACTTTTTCAAAGAAGCAACTGCTAAAAACATGACTTAATTGAGAAATTATAGGAAACTGATATTTCACTTCTTTAAATGTACATAAAACATATACTGTCTACACACAAGCCATTTCTGGACTATGCTATAAAGAGTTTTAAGCTTGACTTTTTCCTACATAAATAAACAGGAGAAATGTATGTATAGAAAAATAATTATATATATATATATATATATATATATATGTATATATATACACATACACATACATTTTTTAAATTGTTTGCAAAATGGGAAGTTATAGAAATTGCAAACCTTCAATATAGAATGCTATCTATAGCAGTCAGATATTCATTGAAATTAATTTTTGTGATACTAGACAAATCCAATAAACCCAACTATCCAGTTAAAAGCTTGAAAAATAGTTAATATATGCATCAAAAACCTTGATGTATAAATAAGAATTATAATTTTCAATATAAAAATTATGTAATTTTCATCATGAAGCATTATGTGAAGTTCCAAGGCTACTTTTCTATCACCACTGAGTAAGCATAAGGTCTACCAACTAGAAAAACAAGAGAAATTAAAATATTTTCTCTACGAATATTTCTGTCATTGAAGTTCTATGGCTCAGCTGCGAATGACAGAAATATCTGTCAGTCGCACATATATAACATCTATGTGAATGATGAAAATTACCATTTCATTGTGATTGATGGCAACTCAGTTTTATCTGTGTCAGAAAACGGCAACTGAGCTGTTCCTGCCACAAGTTAATGGGTTAATCTCAGAGTAGAAAGGAAAAATACATTCTACATTTATGCAGTCTAATAATATCTGATGAGGGGCAAATACAGAAAGTTGAAATCAACATCCACGTAAGTCAAATAACTTAAACTGAATTAATCACTAAGAAATGCTTTAAGGTTTTCCCAAACTTATGACTGATTACAAAAACTGCTGGGAGAAGTTGAGCATACATAGAAACATATTAAGTATCTAAAATATTAAAGTTCTCTAAGTTGTGTAATTGTAAATATAGGAATAGTTCAAAAAGTTATAACAAAAAATTCAGTCCCACTTTTATAACTTATGTCTCTTAAAGTACTCTTTTATTTATGTATACATATATATATTTTTTAATTGAATTCTATTTGAAATCTTTGATTAAATATTTTTCATTTAAAGACTGTTATCTACTCCTATCTTTTCACTAACTTGTTTAGTGTTGTACATTATGCATTATTTTGCTATCGTGTTAATTTTTAAAACTGTCTCACCTGAAAAAGAACTCACAAATGGGCATAAAGGTTTGTAAAAAATAATGTGATAGCTGGGAAGTTTATTAAGCCTTATGGTATTTATATATTTATATAAAGAAAAAATCCATAAACTGTAATTGTCAAGTTAACTTTAACAACAGAAAATGGCACAAAATGTAAATAGTTACTTTCTATAGACTCTATAATACTATTCTTTTCTGAACAGCACTGAAATTCTTATAAGATCCTGAAAAAGACCTAGTATGGAAGTAAGTACAATAAATCAATTTTGAACAAGGAAAACCATACTTTGCTGATTTTACAAGACATGTTATAAAAATTGCATTGCAGCTTTTTTTTTTCATTCGCATCTTGAACCTAGAAAATCTGATTAAAATTAATAGGAAATTTTCACAAAACATAATATCTTAGTTTGAATTGCTTTTAGGTATCCTGAATGATTAAAAAAGTGTGATACACACTGTATTTTCACATGCACAAATGTTGCACTTGACTGGCTACTCTAATATAGTGGTATGAATATGGTAGATGCTCTGGGTATGCATTTTAACTTTTCAAGAATCTGTATATCATTAAACTTTCTAAAAATTCAGATAAAAGCCACAATATAACTGAAAACATGAGGTTACATTCTAAAACTACTTCTCATTGACCACTTACCTCTTGCTCCCAATAAAAGACCACCCAAACCACCAACTGTGATCACGATAGCTCTGGGTATAGCATTATCATCATGAGTAATATAATCATAGGTACCTATAGTAAAAAAATAAAAATTGTTTCAGCTCTTTAAAAAAAAAAGAACAATTATATATACATAGCTTTTAGTAATGTTACCCCACAATATCGGTAGTAAATTACCATATTTAATTTTCAAAATAGAATAAAGTGTGAATCTTAACAAAGGTGAAACAGTCAGCAGTTGCCTAGTTGAGAGTGACACTTGTAGAAAAAGTCTTGTAAGACTAATCTACAAAAGTAGTTCAGATTTTTTGTACCCGAGCTACATTTGTAACATAAATCAACAGTCAGTACTCAGTACTCAAACATAGTTTTTGCATAATGCTACTACCTAGCATTAGAACATGAACTACATTTATAAATAATTTTTATAGCACACATTAGATTTCACCAAATGAGAAGATAATAACATTCTAGATCATTACTTTGATCAAGTTTAATGCTATAAGAATAGTCTGACAACTTCTAGAATTTCTTTATGCTGATGTGTTTTTATAAGAAAGGTGTAGTCAGTATTGCAGTTTGTGTGTTTTAGTTTATGGATTAAGTAGCTGAAATTACTATGAAGCATCATGTCTTTTAAAGTAATTATTCTACAAATGTGTGTAATCAAATTTAATATTATGTTTATTGATTTTTTTGTTTGCTCCTTCACTTCATATATAATATAGGGGTTGGCCTCCTAAAAACACCAATTGTATAGTGTACAAAGCATTGAGTATCTACATGTTCCGGCATTCTAATGTTTATCTATTATTGGCTGGTAATTCTTGTACTTAAGCTTTTTAACTCTCTCATTATAGGCTTCGTCCCGGGAACCGACCTCATAACAATTTTGTGCTTGTTATAGTTTTCATATTATAACTTTTAATAGAGGAAATTTTGCAGATTATCAGTAAATATCAGTAAGTCTATCATACACAAAATATCAGATTTTTGTATTAAGTTTTAAGACTTTTAAGTAATGATTTGCTCGTGCATTTTTCTTTTTTGAATGTTGACTGTCCAATATGCAGAGTAATTTCGATTTTAAGAATAAAAATACTTTTAAGCTTCAGAAAATTGTCCAATTTCACATGCAAAATCTTTATAACCTCCAAGTAAACTCCAGATAATTATCAAATGTTTTTGTTTAAAAAAAAACTTGTATTTTATCTGTTATTTTCACTATTGTTTCTTCACATGGGTTTGGTTGATTTGACTAACCATGTAACCACCATAAAAAATTTAGAAATAGATGTAAATTATGCTTTTTCGTTTCAGAATGACTACAAATTATAACAAGAAACCACAAATGTTTAGTCTAAATAGCTTAAATCTCATAAAATTATAAATATATGTATATATTTATTATTTTTATTTTATTGACCTTTCAGCTGTGTCTGACTAACATTATAGAAGTTGCAATGATGCAGGACACATGTAGTCATGTTATCATATCCAACAGTATAAAACTGGCCTTTACAAAGTGACCTGTCTTGGCTTTGTTCTACTGGACCAGTATTTTGTAAAATACAATCATATTTTGTTTATAACACATTACACATATATATATATTATTACTATTTACAAATAAATTCTTAAATTTCAGTTATGTTTCTTAAAACATAGAACAGTAAATAAAAAACTATAGAAAACAATGATCTCTTCTACTTACTAACTTTGTACTCGTTTGCTGCATGCTGTAATTTGCTAAGCCTTGTCAAATTTCACACGTAGGTAAAACAAAATAATTTTTGTAGGTTATATATACTCATTTTGAAATAACAAATAATCATAAATTAGTATATAAACACCACAGAAATCCACTATAATTTATCAGTCTTAGCAACTAAGCTGCATTTGGGTCTAAAAAAATATGATATTTTGATTAACATCCTCACTTACCTCTTCCTTTCCAAATTCAAGACAAAAAGAACAAATCTTGGGAAATTTCAACCTTCTAGAGCCAATAAAACCATGTGGGGAAAATTCTGAGCTTTTGATTGGTTATAAAGCCATAAAGAAGCAAAGAAGGTTTATGTAAGGAAGTATTTCCAAAAATGGAAGAAATGGGTGGGGCCACTGTGTTTGATTTGCTAAGATAGTGATATCTCAGCAAATAGAAAAGATAGGAGGTTCTTATCTTATATTCTAGCTTGTCAATATCAGTACTTTGAGTTTTTAATTCATTAGAAACAATAGACTTTGTATTTGGACATCACAAACATCTCATTTGAACCACAGCTGCATTCAACATATCATGTGACACACAAAATCGGTATTTAGGTGTGTTTTTAATATTTACTTTTAAATTAACAAGTTAACTAATTTTAATACTAAAATTTGAATTACAATCTACAATTTGATACCAAACCTACTGACAGTCATTCATAAAATAGTAGTTCAATAAAATTTTGAATGTAAGTCTACAAACATTATGACACGCCCTTTGACTCCTGACCAGAAAAAAACAACAACCTTTATCGTTATGCTTGATTAAAAACTTCTTAGACATTTTTCAAGTTTATATAAAAAATAAAATGATGTTAAATATTTTTTTTGTAAATAACTTGATTACTGTGGTATCAATTATCTTTCACTTATAAATGAAAAGAACAATTTTTTTTAGTAAAGTATAAATACTCCATCACTATTAGAGCCATTATATAATAATACTGTGATGATTTTGAATAAATACTTCATTTCTGTTTTAAGGTTCATCTTAAAACATTTAAAATCATATAGTCTTCCTTTGATTACAGGAATGCTCTAAGGTATAATTATTGTAGTGAGTACTAATTCAAGTTACCAGGCATTTTACATTACTAAATAAATACAAGTTAGGCAAGGCTAGTTTGTCACACTGTGAATATGAGGGTTCATGATTTGCATTCTATTAGATATGCTGAATAAACTGCATCCAATGAGGAAGACAATGGGAACCTAATTTCCCACGACAGATGCAAAAGTCTCGCGAGTTAGTTATTCTGTCAACTTATGCTTGGTTAATTTTAAGTGGTTTCAAAAAATATACTATGAAAGAAACAGCAATGATTTGCAGGTCATTACTTTGACTTTATTTCATGGAAATTTAAAAATTATTATGTATTATATGCACAGTATCTAAACAGCCAATACTATAAGCAGTTCCAATTAAAAATTTCATTTTTCTAACAGTGTGATTAGTTTATGAAATGAGTTGCCACTGGCAACACTGGTGGCTGGCACCTTATGGGAGTTTATGAGTGGAATCAACGAGTTTCTGAAAAATAAAGGGTGGGTTATCTTTCATTTTCTCAGGAGTGGGTGTGCAAAAACACCCTTAGAGGACTGAATTGTCCCTTGTAATGGTTTCTTACTATCTAGATATATATATATAAATATATAATAATTTGTTTACTTTTGTTTCAAACTTAATGCTAACACCACAAGCTCAAGTATAATGATAAAAAAGTACATGCAAATTACACATGAAGTTATTTTTTAACACAAATATCTAATGTTTATTTCTAAATTTAAAGTATACTGATACTGTATCTGTGATACTGCACTAAGTCTATTACATAGGTTACAATTATGGGCAAGAAGTTTGAGCATTTTTTCTTTTTATTCTTGAATTCCATTTATGGAAAAGGAGAAAAAATACATTAATTAAAAATATATAAAAAATTATAAAACATACCTTTTGAATGTGCTATGGCAGTTTCATATATCTGAGAGGCTCGTTCCTTAGTTTCCTAGAGAAAAGGATGGAAAACATTTTCAACAATTTAAAGCTCCAACATTCATTTCAACATACATTTCCACACACTAATATATATAATATCTCAATATAAATTGTTGACACACACTAATAAAAAACAAACAAGTAAAACAGAAGGTTAAAGTTTTAACAATGTATTTCAGCATCAGAAAGTATCTATCACGTAAACGTGTACTACTCTGAACTTAGCTAAAACACTAAATATGTTTTTACTTATTATAACAACCCACAAAATGAGAAAGTTTTCTCACATATCTACTATATTAATGCCAATCACATTAATTTATGAAACCAGACTGTCAGAAATGAAATATGAAGTATTTATTCATTTAATCTGGATAAAAGTGTGTTCACTGTTGGCTTTGCAAGTAATGCTTTGGTTATGATTGAGCACCATGGAAGCAGTCTGTTCTGCAGTGATAATGGTGGGAAATCCATTTTTATTATATATGAAAAGAAGCATATCACATTAAATTATTTATTTAACAGCTTCAATTAATGTAAGTGTTTTGTACCATAGTTATAACACTAGTTATTGAAAAAATATATTTTCTGTCTCTAATGTCACAGACATGAAAGTAAAAATGTTGCCATTCAAATTGATAGCAAGTAGCACTATACAGTTATGTAATCAAAAAAGACTTTTTAGTTTATGAACATTTTTAGACTTGGAAAAACTACTAAAAATACAGAAACTGCTAATTAAAAGGAATTTTATAATGCAAAATTTTATGTGACACTAATCATTGTAATCAATGCTCATAAGAACTATGGTGGAAGCTAGTAACTACTGTACTTCTTTTATATAATAAAATGTTTATAACCATGAAATAATTATTTTTTCCAGATTTGAGATATGAAAACAATTTGAAAACATGTTATCTTGGAAGTTCTTGTATGTTTAGCATACTATTCAGGGGTAAATGTATCATGTCCCTTTGACAATACCATAGTATATAGGAAGAGATGTTCTTGACTTGATCATATATTACAACAGCTTATACATTTAGCTATTAGAAATACTGTTTACGTTTATTCTTATATATATATATATATATATACAGGTCTTTTAAGCAGATATTAAAAAGACCCCACAAATTTTAGAATTCATCCTGTATCATGAACTTACAATCATCTAATACAAATATTCAATCATCACCAGCAAAAATGAATAAAACTTGTACTGATTTTACATTATACATAAACTGCTGTTAAACATGTTTTGGAACTTGATTCTGTTCAATAACATTTTTAATTGTGCAAATAGAAAACAGTAAAACTTAAAAACTACTTTTAAGTTCAAGCAAGCTTAATATTGTTAGGAAAAATTATTTTGATGAATAAACTCAACTGACTTCAACAGTATACAAGTACTGGCTAGCAGTCTTTCGCAATGTAGATATTCCTAATTCTAAGGAACCTGGAGCCCTTTCTTCAAGTTCATATTGAATACAGTCATCAGGATCTCCATAAAGAGGAAGCTGAAATAAAATTCCTTGTCAATACTTTAAACAAGAATTCTCGTACATTATACAGATGAAGATACAGGATGACCTAAATATATGGAACCATAGGCATTTCAATTAATTGCACACAGTGTGTTCCACATGCCATCCTTGTAATTCAAAACAAGTTTAGATTAACAGTAGGATTAACTCAACCTTCTTGTGCTTTGAAAGTGTCATAATCAGTCACGTATCTGAAATTAAGAATAGCTGCAAAACATCAATGGTTCCAGATTTTTTGGACATTGTATTGTAGTCTCAGTATTCTACATGTATTATTTCTTAAACATTTTGTAAGTAAATTCTGTTCTTTTTCTTTAAATTTTCTGGGGTCAAAAGAGATATATCAGTGAGATTCAATTATACTAGCTTTCTTTATCAAATATCAGTCCTGGTTACTCTTGACCATGTAAGGTTTGGTGCTAAACTTTCTCAGCAAAGAATGTTCAGACACACGACAGGTTTCCCTGTAAAGAAGCCCAGGATGTCACAGAAAACAAGGCACATCTATTAAACACTGTGAAATAAAACATGTAAAAAATAAACTTTCAAAATTTAGTGGAAAAAAGAATGTATAAGAGGTAAAAGACTTCTAAAAACAGTTTTAATGACTAGAAATTTAACAATTGAATAAACAAACTGACTACATTTAAGAAGAATGTTAAAATTGAGTTCAAAAACAAACTGGTCTCAGAACCATCAAAAATAAATGTTAATTTAAATATAAACTAAGCAAGGGTAAGCACTGGGATAGACAAAACTTTCTAAAGAAAATAATACAAGTCCACCATAAAATTCAAAGAACACATACATATGTCTACCACTTATCAAAGTAAAATATCATATTAAAAAATATTTGCTGAAGAAAAATGTTATAAAGGTTTAGTACTACCATGCTTCAGCAAATGTTCTTGAAAGAAATCATATTGTGAGAAGAAAAAAAAAGCTACAAATATAAAAACTATTAATAAAGATGTAACAAATAATGAAGCACACAGATACACAAACTATATATAAGTTAGAATTTAGTAATAAAAATGTACATAAAATGATGCAAAAAATGCCTGTTTTTCTTCCTGTTTTCCCAGTGTACCAAGCAAGATAAAAAAAAACATCAAATAAGAGAGAAAGCATGTGATCATGAACTAAAATGAAGTACCAGCCATCCAAATCATGAAATAAAAATAACAGTGGAAAAACAGAAGTTCCTAAAAGAAAGACATTTACAATGGAGAAGGGAATGTTAACATTTTCCTTACCTGAAAATGTACTTCCAATAGATACAGCAGCTATTCCTTGCACATCTGCCTCTGATATTTTGCACATGCCATGAGCTATTTTCCACCTATTTTAACATAAACTGTGCTAGTGTATGATGTAATTGTCATGCAACAACAGGCCTCCACTAAAAGGAGGGTGACACTTCCTCCATGCACAGTAGATCCCCATAATCATATACACTCGAAATTAACTTCATTCTTAGATGAAGGAAAAATAATTTGCACCAGTAAAGGGGAGGAAGAAGAGAGGGTATGCACAGGGGTATCTATCAGAAATACATTTTCAGGTAAGGAAAATGTTAACTTCCAAAACAATATCCTTATTCCTCAGCACACAGTAGTTAGAATTCCACACTGGTGAGTTGGAGAGGCTGGTCCAGTTGCAAGAACCTTGATGATGGAGTGATTACTCTATATGAAGAATCCTATCCATTCGAGAGATGATCTTCCATTAAGTTCAAAGCCCGTGGGACATGACAGGTGGGTAGACAAACCTGATGTAATTAGATCCATAACCAAGTGATTCACAGACTGAGGTAAGAAACAGGAACATGCCCAATGGGCAGCCAAGAGTTCCAGAATATTGATGTGGAAAGTATGTTCCATATGAGACCAAACCCCTGAGCCTATAGGTTTGTCCAGAGACATACCCAAACCTGTAAGAAGTTTGTTGGTGAAGAGATGGAGACCCAGGCATGGCAGAAACAATGGAATACCAACCATAATGTTGGTATGATCCAGCCACTAACACAGATCCTTGAGAAGAGAAGGTGGCAGCATCACATGAGGACAGATGATTGTGGGAGATATTACATTGATTGCTCAAAGACTTTTTAACAAACCTCTTATGAGTGTGGTCTTAAAAGACAAGATGTATGAAAGATGTGAGAGTCTACAAAAGAAACAAAAAATTCTTGTGCAGGAAGTATAGGAGAGGTAAGAGTTGGGGCATGTAGGTGGTGAATTGAAAAAGACTTCAAGGTGGACCAAATACTGGGTCAGAGTGAGGAATGTCTTTGAAAGTTTGACGAGCCTGTTCAAATGAGTAGCTTCTTGGAAGAGAAATGACATGGCCAAGAAACAGGCATCCTGAAAAGAGTCAAGGAGGAGCCAGTCATCTATGTAATAATGGAAACAAAGTCCAAGACTGTGAATGTAACAAGCAATAGCTCTCATTACTCAGATGAATACACAAAAAAACCAAAGTGAAAAGGGGAAACCTTGAAGGTGGAATAATACATGACCCAAGGGAACAATCTGAAGAAAACATCAGGAGGACTGGGCAATCAGAATATGTAGAAAGGTATCCGAGATATTGAACTTGGTCATCTACAGTCTGAAATCCTACCATCTTGAACTGAGGAATCACTAGACAGTGGTTGAGAGAAGAAAAACCAATAACAGGATGCTAGTCCTTGGTCTTTTAGAAGACATAAAAAAACATAAAGAAAACCTTGGATAAGGGCAAAGAACTCTCTCAATGGCTCTCTGTCAAAAAGATCTGATAATGTAGCCTTAAGATGCAAAGAATGGAAGGAAGAGGAAAAGGAGGAAGAGATGAAAAAAGCCTTGGATAAATACTGGAATGTCCAACTGCATGAATGCAAATGGGGTACAGAGGTCTGGAAACAGACACAGACATGCCACCCTCAGGGTCTGAGCCAACTGAGAGAGGTAAGAACTGATGTGGTATGCAACAGCAATTCAATGAGAGGGGGAATTGCAAGAAGAAGTAGAGGGGCAAGAATCAGGCCAAGAGAGAGAGTTGGAGGGTTCATACAGTAGAGGAGTGTGTGTGGATTGAAAGTGTTGGGAGAGATTAAAAATCAAGGAAGAAAAGGAGGACTGGTTTCAGGTAACCTTGGCCCAAGCCTCCAAGATGTTAGAAACACCACCGTGAGATGGAGGTTATGGAGTCAGAGAGAAAAGTTTCACATCCCATAAGGTCCCTACAACAGAGGAATCAAGTAAGCAGGGAACAAACCAGAACACAAGACCCTTGTTGAGGTACTGAAAAGTACCAACTGTAGATCTTCAGAAAAACTATTAGGATCAGAGTCTGTGGCTTCAGAGGGGAGAAGTAATGAAGAAGATGGGAAAATTGATCACTAGAGAGATTTATTGGAGGTAGGGGGTGAGCCATCCAAGTATGTAAAAGGGACTCCAGGGATTGGAAATCCAAGAATGGAAAAGGGGAACTACCTTAAGCCACAGCATAGGAATCCTGGAGTCATGGAGGATGAAGCATTTGAGAGGGTGAATGAAGCTGTTCTAGAAACATGTCAGCATATATACATGCCTGGAGAAGGAAGAAAAACCAAATAATGCTCAGCTATGAAGCTTGTAGGAAGGAACAGGAAGAATCCAAAGTCATAGGTGAAAAAAAAAGTAAAAACAAGCCTGAAAAATCAAATCCACAAAGAGATTTGGAGGAAGGACAATGTCCTCTACCCATAAAGAAGAGCCTAGTGCAAACTAGGAGGTAGAAAAAACAAATAAAAATTGTCGTACTCGTGGCAGTGTTAATAAACGAAAAATGCACTTCTGATGTAAGAACAAGGAGATAAGGCAATGAAGGCCTTAACGAACTCATGACACATTGAACAATGGTAGTTAACTTCCTTCACAGTCAATTAGCCTCCAGTGGCTAATGAAGTAGGGTCAGCATTAGCAACATTGCCAGAGCCTTGGGAGAAGATAATATTCACTGTCACTTGAGAATTCATTGTTATTAAGGGAAATCTTCAGAAGTATTTTTTTGTACATAGTAATTGAAAACTGATATAGTTTGAAATAAATGAATGAAAGTTAACACTGGAATATAGATAGTGTAAATCTCACTACAATTAACAAATTTTAAACTTCAATAAAGAAGTCCATTCATGATAGTGCTAGGGAAAAGAATGAAGTTAGTTTTGAGTGCAAGTCCCTATAGCAATCTATTGTGCAATGAGGATGTGTCAGCCTCCTCCTGGTGGAGGGTTATTATTGTATGATGATTACATCAAGAACTAGCACAGTTCACGTTAAAACATGTGTCTTACGTGGGAGATAATTCAAGGCTAGTGCATATGCAAAATCTCAAAGGCAGATGCATGAGGAATAGCTGTGTGCAGAGAGGTAAGACTATCATTTGAGAAATTAAGAGTTTGAATTGCAATTGAAAAAAAACTACAGAAGAGCTAATGTAGTAAATTTTACAAATAGACAGAAGTGAAGATTAATTAATTTAACAAAGGAAAAATGCAACTCAATTAGATAATGAATTTAAGATAATTTGTTTTTTTACAAGATTATCATGTCATTAAAAAAAGTACAGTTTATGTTGATTTCTTAAAAATCAATTGAAAGTAGTTGCACAAAAAGAAATATAAATAAAACATACACGTGGAGAAGTTGACTATGACAAATATGAAGCAAAAACATATATGTAAAAGATCAAACAGTTAATGAGGATATCTTATATAGTAAAAACTGCTTAACCCTAATATTATAGTTTTAAAAAATAGGAAAAAAAATAATAATAGGAAACTTCTACAAATTAACTCTTATGCTAAGGATGTGTCTTAAATCAACATATTACAGCAATTAATATCTGATTTACAACAGTAATACAATAAAGTACACAAATTAAAGTTTACATTCAAGGTCAAGTGGGAGATTAATCAGTGTGAAATTTTGGGCAATTAATTAATA